CCAAGCTCTATCTCTAAGAGAGAAAGGGAAAAGACGAAGTCTTATTGCGTATGGAGTTACTCCATTTTCTTTCACTGTGTCGGCGTATTGTACAAACTTCGTTAAGTGTTCGTTTGGATCCTCAGTTACATTTCTTGAGAATTGATTTTTTTGTACAGCTGACAGTAATGACGGTTTTAGTTTGAAATCGGTTCGATTGATAGCTGGGGCAGCTATGCTACTTCTAGGCTCCATTTGAGAGGGTGTAGCGTATGCCTTCAGCGGTTTGTTTTTAGGTCCTTCAGCCATCTTTGCTTCTTCAACAGGAGGATGAGCTAGAAGATCAGGAATGTTGTGTCTTCGTTGATATTCGACGATGCGCCTTCTTAGATGTAAGAAGCGCTCTAGTTCAGCGATTGTAGGTTGTAAGATTTCGCCTTGTGAGCGAGTACTTGGCATACAATCGAAGAACGAGTAAAGGGAGAGAGAATTGTTAACCTAGTCTATACTGTGTAACAAAGGATTACACTATTGACTAAACGGGTCCCCCGGCAACGGCGCCAAAAACTTGATCGCGACTTTCTATGTCTAACAAATCTAACTGCAAGTGCACAGTCTATCGCGTAGTAATAATAGATATCGATCCCACAGGGACTCGTAATCAATCTAGTATTATCCAGTGTTACGGTGTTTAGCTAGGTCGGTTTGGTTTCAAGTTGAATAATAATAGAGTTGATGCGTAAACTAAAGGGAACTAAGGTTTTTACTTAAGATATGAATTTATGAATCGATATGCAATAACTTTGTTCTTCGGGGATTTGACAATTTACTGGCGTATTAAGTGTTTTCAAACTTAGTTTAAGAAGAAAATAATGATCTAAAGACTTTTGTCTCACGATGGTTGTTGACGCTAGTCGCAACTCTAAGGCGGAACGTATGTTGTCGCTATCCCGTTCGGGGTTAGAGTTACCTTTTGAAAATCTCTAAGTTCTAATCCTTTTTAAAGTGCTTTCTTTGTTTTTAAATCGAATGCCTAGTTTTTACTATCTGGTCTTAGCCTCAGCTGTCGCTTGTTGGTTTGTACCTTAATATGGTTTCCCACTGTCGTGGCAAAACCACCGTAAATAGCTTCTCACTGTCGTGACAAAGGTTTATTTAGAATTTTGATTAAAAACTAGAACCATAACTGAGTTTTTGAAAAGAGAAAAACTACGCCAATTATTATCAAATTCCGTCTGAATTATTATTACATATCGATTACAGTAGTTTAGCTAGACATGGAAATAGAAATGGTAATACATAAATAAAAACAGTAATTAATAACATGCATCATAATGAAAATTGCGATTACGATTAAAATTGAAAACCTGTAAATATTCCAATTGGTCTTTGGGCAGATCCTCTACAATGTTGGCAGGATTCTGGTCTTGGTACCAATTGATCGTACAAGGGAAATGGGAATTACAAAATATCAAAGAATACAGAGGAGGAAAAGAGAAACAAATAAGAATATAATAACAGAAAGGTGCTCTGTAGACGAATTGGCAGCACTTCGTTGTCTTGAATGCGACTCCCTTTTCAGGTCCCAACCTCTTCCTTTTATAGAGGGAGAGTATCTAACGGTTATTCCTTCAGGAAGTGGGTTTGAGGCAGAAAAGTAGGAGTTAGTGGCCACACTTTTGGTCTTTGAGGGGGGAATTTTGCACGTGACTTCATTCTGCACGTTCTGGCTGCATGACGGTCGTCATGGAGGTGTGACGGTCGTCACACGCATGACGGTCGTAACATCTGTGTGACGGTCGTCACATTAGTCAAGCTCGTTTCTGCTGGTTTTCACTTGGTTTTTCATCCATTTTCCACTTGTTTTTGCTCCTTTTCTTCATATTGCTTTGCTTGGACATGTTCTTCGAATACCTGCATAATACTTAGACAAATAGCATGGAATGCCCCGAATTCAGAGTGAAACCAGTCAAACATTAGTTAAAACACATGTCATTTTATAGACATATTTTCGCGTTATCAGAGGGTTTTGAGTATCGCAGACGCTCGCTAGCAGGTTCGATAGACGAGCAGGTAGCAAGCATTCGCTAGGGACTCGCTAGGCGAGCTAGGTAGCGAACACTTCCAGTAGCCACTGTCTGCCTTCGCTAGCACATTTGCTAGGCGAGCAGGTAGCGAACGTTCGCTAGAGCCTCGCTAAGAGAGCAGAGTGGCGAGCGTGACAGAACTTGTTTTATTTTTGTGGTTCCAACCAATGCTGATGTTTTGTAGGATCCCTTTAGTCATGATGGGTATAGGGATGATGTTTGGTGGTGAAGAGTGTATACTGGGTGTTAGAATATGAATTCCCATGATATTTGATTTAATTGATATGATTAATTGGTGTTATATATATATATATATATATATATATATGTATATATATATATATATATATATATATATATATATATTATATATATATATATATATATATATATATATATATATATATATATATATATATATATATATATATATATATATATATATATATATATATATATATATATATATATATATATATATATATATATATATATATATATATATATATATATATATATATATATATATATATATATATATATATATATATATATATATATATATATATATATATATATATATATATATATATATATATATATATATATATATATATATATATATATATATATATATATATATATATATATATATATATATATATATATATATATATATATATATATATATATATATATATATATATATATATATATATATATATATATATATATATATATATATATATATATTATATATATATATATATATATATATATATATATATATATATATATATATATATATATATATATATATATATATATATATATATATATATATATATATATATATATATATATATATATATATATATATGATGTATGGTGATGTGATCAGGAGGATCGTGTGCACTTAGTATGCTTGAATTTATTGGTTGTGTATGGTAATGTGATTAGTAGGATCGTGTGCATGTAGTGTGCTTGAGTTATTTGTTGTGTATTTGGTGTCGTGCATATCATGATGTTTTGGTGGGATGAAATCGTTGCTCAGGAGGAGTGTATGCGATCATCCGTACTCCTTTGTGGAGAATGGTGGGGATAGATCATTGCCAAGGAGGGGTGTATGTGATCTATCCGGGGTTCGATTGAATGAACCAATGAGTCGGTACCGCATGCATGGTGTTGAGTTGCATTTTGCATTGTTATATGTTGTATTGATGATTGGACAGTAGGTCGTGATTGATATTGGTGGGGTGATGATTTGTATATTTACTGCCTTTTATTCATGTATCTTATTACCAATAATTTTGATCATGTTTTCTCACCCCTTTGTTGTCATGGTGGTCTATGCTTCTTCGGAGGTACAGATAATCCAGGTACTTAGCTAGCTTGGATAGTGGTGTGCGAGTCGAGTCTTAGGATGCTCTGATGCGTAGCACGGGACTTGGGTGTTTCTTTGTTTTATATTGAACTTGTTTTACTCCTGTACCGTATCATGTTTGGTGAACTTATTAATGAATAATTTTATGTGAATTAGGCGGATGGCCGAGAATGTTGAGTTAAGGATTATTTCCGCTGCTTTAATGTGAAAACATCTAATGAAGTGTTTTGTTGAATTTTATGAATGTGATATCCCACTTTTGGGGGAGGAACTCTGATGTTTATTTGAAATAATTGTATTTTATTTAATTTTGGGAAGTGGGGTGTTACAACCATCATCCTCCTCTCCGAAATGCAACCCGTCAATGTTACCCGTAGGACAAAGACCACCTTATTCCACATTGTCCTCTTGAGTCAGATGCACACCCTTGTACGCTTCATCTTTGTTCTTATAAAAAGAGCTCTAACTATCCTATGTACCAGAAGAATAACTACGACCCTCCATTTTTATTCTATCAGAAATAAATGCAATGTGCAGAGGCCCATGAGAGTCCTCTATCATTTGTATATAGAATATATCATCTTTGATCTTAACCTTGAATATCTCATTCAAAACCACTACACAACTTGTTATAACCATAATACGTGCTACATCCACGCAGCCACCATTCAAGGTATTGTCGTCGATGCAAACATATTTTCCAACAGTCTTAGCAATAAGATCAAAGAATTTGAAGTTCCAAACTTGATAAGGGATACCAAAAACTCATAACCATGTTATCCTTTCTTTGTCCATGTCGTCTTCTTTCCACTTTCTTATCTTAAAGAACCATTGTTTCCACCATGTTTCCCCCTCCCTAGTCAAACCTCTAATCTCTCCCTCCTCACTTTCCTCCATCAAACATAAATTAGATCATAAAGGAGTAACTTTGGTCAAAAAGAGCCCTTCTATCTCTAAACTTATTTGAATGTTATAAGACATTTTGGGGTTAAGCACTATTCCAACATAAGCTTTGCTGAGTCTTTCGAGATCGGAGACCTCTGGCTTATAATTGAAATGCACTGGAAACTTACAAGGACCTAGGTTAGGTTGAACACTAGAGTTCTTAACGATATCTACAAATGACTTCTCACTAGAGGTGGAAAATGGATGGATTGGATGGATATGGATTGGATTGTTAATGGATGGATCAAAGCAATCCATTAATCCATTAACAATCCACTAAACTCTCTTAATAAAAATCCAATCCAATCCAATCCAATCCATCCATTAAAAGATAAAATCCATCCAATCCATCCTTTAACATATTTCTAATGGATGGATATCCATCCATCCAAAAAAATTAATTTAAAAATTCTTAATTTAATAAGTGACAACATAATATCCAATGGATTTATAAACTGAGATGAATGGATTGAATCCATCCATATGAGTTAGTGGAATGATTGGATCAAATCCATTAAATTATTTTTTGTCTTATGGATGGATTGGATGGATAAATTATTGGATGGATTGGATGGATATTATCTAAATGGATTTCATTTCCACCTCTACGTCTCACCAACTCTTCCTCCACCAAAATCTCCCTTATTCCTTCCTAGCCTCTCCCCTTCTTCCCAGACCTTCTTGAAACCATAAACCAGATCTCTACCCGTTGATGCAACTTGATTTCTCGAGAATCTAGGAAGATTAGCATGAATCTTAACTTTATCATCGAAAATATTGTCTAACTTAACCGCTAGAACCCTTCCGTCTTCTTCCTTTGAAAATCTTACAAATCCAAAATGCTTGCAATGTTTATTTCTCTTAGGAGGTATGATAACCTCAGCCACCTTGCCATGAATCTCAAAAATTTGAAAAATCTCCTTTGCTTTTACCCTATATGGAAACTCTGAAAAATAGATGGATACAATGCCTTCTTCTTTCATCTTACTTCGATTCCCCTCCGGATGAACATCTCATACATCTTTCTTTAGAAATATGAAGCTTCTCTTCTCAGCTTTTTTCCAAGACATAAGATAAAGTGATTAATGAGTCTTGTTAGGTCTTGCAATCTTGTTTCATTGTCATTTCTCACTAAAAACGATTCATTTCGTTCTGTTTTAATTTTAAATATTTTAAAACAATCATAATAACTTTTTGAATGGTATCTTAGTTTTATATAATTATAGATATTTTAAGAAAGAGTAGTCCTAATAAGTACCATTAATTCGTTAAAAAAAGGTGCCCTAAAAATTGTTAAGAAATTAAGGAAAAAAAATACTTTTGTGTTGAAAATAGTTTTTTATTTTTTATTTTTTTTATTTTTATGTTTTCAAAAACTGATTACTCAATTTCCAACATTTTATTACTAAATTTGGCTTCTTTCTTTTATCCCTTATGACTAAAAAGGAATGATTATTAGATCACTTTTTATAACTTAATAAAATGAACAAGAAAAAGAGATGATAGTATTTTTATATAATTAATTTATCAAGTACACTATTATAAAAAATATGAAGTAGGCGAAATTTATTTGGAAGATGATCCGAGTTAAGTTCCTGAATTGGATCCAAGTGACCGACAAGTGTGAATATATATGTTTGCAGGTACAAATATTCACAAATGTTAAATGTTTATAATGATTTTGATGATGACAACACTATAGGTGAAACAACATTATGTGAAATCTTCATCTATCAAGAAGAAGCAGTAATCGAGATGTTTAATAAAAATGCTTATGTGAGATCAAGATGTAAAGTTAAATTTAATAAGGCCAACACGTAATGTCATGTAGCATTCGGTAGAACTCCTGATGATCTATGTTCAAATGATCTGTGATAATGGCATAAATCAAGAAGGTTTATCAAGCTTAATCGGTCAGAAAAATTCAATTCCTAGATGAGGTGTTGAATCAATAATGAATCAAGTAAGGGATCTTGAAAATTCAAATATTGTGAAAGAAATAAAGTGAGAAAGCTCGTTTTGTTTGTGTCTAGGTGATCAGTGTATTACAAGGGTATAAGAGTGATTCTTAAATTACAAAGACAACACAGACACACACACACACACAAATAGTTTTAAACCTTTCTCTTTTGCTAAAACACCTTAAAATCTATGAATGCACCATCAAGGTGCATGAGGGATTGACCAAGAGTGTTCTTAATCATTTAGGAAGCATTTGTACACTACCTAATCAATTTGGGACTTAGTCCAATCGATTAGAACAAGGAAAAAGACTTCTTAGTCAATTAGAAATACTCCTAATCAGTTAAGACCCATAATCATTGTTGGGTTTTCTTTTTTAGATTAGGGTTGCCATCATTTTGAAGTTTCTAATTGATTAACTCTAAGTTTTAATCAACTAAGACCCATAAATTCCAAAAGAGTAACTCATCATGATTACCTTATGGAAGTTTGATTACCAAGTTTCTTCTTATAACTAAGATCAATTTGGATAATGAAACCTTAATTTCAACTTTTATGTAGAATGATTCAAATTCTATAATTTTGATCAAGGTTTGAAGTGGTTCCTGAGGCTTAGAGGATATTCTATGGAAGCAGGTGATGGTTGTTGTACACGAGACTCGAAACAAAAGAGGAAGGGATGTTTTATGTAGGATTGAAAATCTATTTTCAAAACAAAATCTTTTACAACAAATTTGTTAAAACTCTTTGTAAATCGAACATAGGAAAAGCAATTGAAATAAGAAAACAAAGTTGTAGCGGAAATAAATGACAAGAAATTAAAGAGTTAAAAGATAAAAGAAAATACCATAGTTATAGAGGTTCGTTATTAATGAATTGACCTATTCGTATCCCCAAGAATTTCCCCTTGATACTTTCTACAACACAAAAAAATTGTCTCCAAAAATCTTCTCGATATTCTATTTAAAACTCATGATGATCATCACTTATAAACTTAACCCATTTGCCCCAACAGTGGGTGCCACTTGTTGTGAAACCAAAATAATTCAAATTTCAAACACACAAATACTATTTATGTATGGGAAAAAGAACAAGGAAAATAAAAAATAATGGTCTAAAACAAATTAATCAACCTGCTAAATAATGTAAGAACATCCAAACGAGGGAGAATAAGATAAAAGACGAGTACACACTAAATTTGCTTATCTAAATCGATCAAAATGATCTACTATAGGAGATATATTAGCTCTCTAATTCACTATAGTTCAAAAGATGTTATGAGATATTATAATATGAGTTACAAGAAAATAGTCTTTAAATCATATTTTCTACCCAAGATTTTTTCAACCTATTTAACTCTAAATATATGAATCACACAAATCCAATATGTTTAGGGATGTTTCTCAATTCATTTAGAAATCCCCAAAGGTATGCCAATTCCAAGAACCAATACTATAAAAAATGGGTTTAACCTCAGATGTGAAAGGGGTTTAACCTCAGTTTCAGAGGCGAGGTGATGAAGGGCATCATGAAAGCTTACCACTTTACCTATCTATTATTGTATAACTTAGAGGGTAAAGTGTTCTTCACATGGATTTGATCCACAACAAAAACATTTTTATTAATTTCAAAACTATGTTGCACGTGCCACATACCTCTCAATTTTCTTAAATAGTCAAGCGAAATACACCCCTATTTACGCCAAATTTTGTTAATAACTGAGAGGTTTAACATATTTATTTCAATCCAATTTTGATCGACCTAGATCATTTTTTAAACATAACCTACAAATTATGTGATAGAATCTGATCATTCGTATTTTATATAAAACATAACACAAAATACCAAATTTACATTGTTTATAAAACCAAATGTACAATACTTATAATACTTATAATGATACTTGTGATACACATAACCTCTACGAAGAAAGCCTATACATTTTTAAACCTATACATATTTAGACTTATAAAGTCAAAACCTCTATACAACACTAATGTATACATGTAAATCAAGAAAATGATTAGTGTTTACTAGATTCATGATAAGATAGAAAAGCACCGACCCATTGTGATCAAATATCATCTATATCTTCTCTTGAAAATGATGTTTCGTTGCTAAACCCTTATAATTTGAATAAAATCTAAATCATGATAAGCTAACAACAACATTAACGTAACAAATATACATAAATTACATGTATATAGATAGTTAATAGCTTAGCCCATTAATTGATAATGCCTCTAGAGGAAATATTTAACATATGTCTCATCACATAGTATCCACATTCGTAGATGTTAAGTTGTTTTCTCTACTACAAATAATTTTTATATAGTTACTAATTAATACACACAATGCACATTTAATACATTAGAGAAAATAAAAGAATGCCAAAAATCATAAGTAATACTTACACGGGGTTCTATGAACTTTGGCTTTTTACCAGGTATATTATATTTCATAAAACTGTGTCCCTCCGTAGCTCTATATGTAGGTAAAAATTATACATGAATAAAAATTGTTCAAAATTAAAGGTAAAATTTGAATATTACAAATTATACCATTTATCCGCTCAAAATCTTTTGCATATCTTCATCAAGATGATAGTGTAGCGAGCATAAGAAAACAACAGTATTTTACTTTAAACATAAAATAATTAGTTTCTAATGATCTCTACATAAACTCTCAAAATAATTAATAATATGTATAAAATTGATTTCTAAATGAAAACACAAATTAAAGCATATTCTTACTGTCCTGGTGCAAAAAAACTCGAGAGTAAGTGTTGCACCCTAAAATTTGCTCTACCTACTTCACTTGGTTTATGTTTCAATTGCATTGTCATTTGCATAAAAAGTCATGTAAATAGTCTAAACATTTGCATAGTATAGCATAACAAGTCATCTGACAAGGGATCAAGTGTTATTTTTCATCTCAAGGAATGTATTCAAGAGGCTCTTATCAAGATTCAAGCCTATTCAAATCACCAAGAAAGAAATTGAAGCTTTGGGAAGTTTAAAGGCCAAGCAGTGGGTTTCTCTCCTATCTTGAGGGTATGTGAAGATCATCAGAGAAGTTATGGGTTATGAATTGAGGTCATGGAAAACCTAGAGGGTCCTTTTGAAAGTAAGACAAGTCATTGGCATGGTTACAAGAGCTACAATTGAAGACAGTCAACTAGGGTGTCATCTGGGTCAACCCTGGGTCAACCCTAGGTCAAATGCTTGATTGAAGGGCATCAAGGCCTATGTGAATATGGATGTGGAGTTGTGCCAAGGAGAAATCAAAAGAAATCAAGAAGAAGAGAAGTTTCTAAATTAGGGTTTCTGTGTAAAATCCCCTGGTCTAGGTCAAACTTCCAAGCAAGGTAATTCAAAATGCAAGTCTCAAATGGATTCTTGGCCAACATGAAACTTGTAGAGTATCTCAAGACCTTTAATTTGAGTGGTGGAAGGCATCAATTAGATTTGTAGAACTCAAGTTATGGTTCTTGCAAGTTACAGGTCCTCAGAGGCATCTGAAATTTGTCTGTGAAAGTTACTTGACTTCCAAGCAACTTTTTCCCCTTAAGGAGTTTTCAATTGGATTTTTGGCCAACATGAAAGTTGTTCCCCATGATCTTAGCTTTCTAGAAAGGTATGGTATGCCTCAATCTGATTTGTGGAGCTCTACTTATGATCTTGACAAGCCAAGGGCATTTTGGTCATTTAGAGGTTATAAGTCATTTCAAGCATAAGGCCATGTCTCCTACTTCCAAGCTTCAAATGGAAAAATATTCAACATCAAACTTTCTTAGAATGATGTTTTAAGGCTAGTAGGGAGGTCATGAGATGTTGAAAAGGCTCATATCAAAAAGTGATAAAAATGGCCTAAAAATGAGGCATAAGTTAATTCAAGTGAATTTGAAAAATGGAAATCCTAAGCTATAAATCCAAACCATGTCATATAATAGGTCATTTTGACTCCAAATGACATTCTAAGAACAATGGTTCAGCCACAATTTTGATTTGAGGCTTGGATC